CACACACACACACACACACACACACACACACACACACAGTATATTGAGCTGCGTTAAGCAGATCTCTTGGGTCTCTAATGTGCAGACTAATGCATCTGCAAACAGCCTCAGAGCTATATCACATCTAACAGCAGTTAAACAACATTCCCTGACTAATTATCAGACGTCCTGAAATCAAATCCTATAAATCAAACACACCAAAACACACAAGTGAGATTAATTAATTCCCAACCAAACGTCGCGATAGTTACATCAACACACACGGCTCAGCCAGGCTTATCTGATTATTTGAAATATAAGAGATATTCTGTTTGCAATATTCAGGAGATGAGCTCGACCACCAAAACAATCAAATCTCTTCCGTGTGACGGTGAGGAGCTCGAGTGTGTACCGAATCTGTCTGTCTGTGTGTGTGTGTGTGTGTGTGTGTGTGTGTGTGTGAGAGTGTGTGTGTGAGAGTGTGTGTACTTGTGTATGTGTCTCAGCAACATCAGTACAGTGATCGAAGTGATCAGTGGCCTGCACACATGACTGAGCAACAGAGCTAGAACAGTGCACTGTGGGTAAAAACATTGACCATGAGCTTGAACACACATACCTAACCATTTAACCACAGCGTCACTGCCTTGAGCCCAAGATGTTTGTCACTATGTCAAACTCCCTCTCTCTCTCTTCCTCCCGTTTCTCGTCACTCTCGACTGTCAAGTAAGCACAAAAGAAAATGCCAAACATTTAAAACATAATAAATAGACTCTCGTAGGTATTGTGGTCCTGTCATCATGATTAGATGGTTGGTTTGTAGTCGTTCCTTGTGGGCGCACCATAGAGAATAGAAGACTGGCACAGCTGCAACCACACTGAAACTATAAGGTCTTCCTCGCTGTTCCTGAAAAAATGGCATTTTAAAGGTTTTGACACACCAACATGCAACGTGTTGATTAATCCAGTTTATTACACTGAACTGCATGGAAATGAAAAGAGAGACCAAAGTCACATTTTAAACTACTATTTTTTCGATTAGTTTCTTATCACATTTCTTTTATCCTTCCATGATGGTATTGAAAAACAATAAATTGATACCTGCTAGTGGTGTGGTATATATTGCACTAGCACTGGCTACCGAATGAACCCCCCAGCGCACCATAACACACCTCCACATGCTGCCCAACATCCATGTGATTAGAAAAGATTACTACATCTAAGTCAGTAGGAAATCCTCACATTCTTTAAAATGCTTTAGCATCAAGCAGCTCCACTGAATTCTTGCTTTATACCTTAAAAACAACCAATTACAACCTTATGCTAATACTTCAGGGCAGTACAATGGTCTAGTGTAGAGGAGAGAACTGCTAAGCTATAGGTTTTTGTAAATTGAGAACAGATATGGGAGTGAGGGGAAGCACTGTGACACACATGACATGCTGTCTGTCTGTCTGTCTTACTCAGTCCAGACACAGAACAATGGAGATAACTGGGTCGCCGTTTGCCGACTGGCTGTGCCAAACAGCTGGAGAGATGGAGAGGGAGGTGATTGAGTTATAGGAGGGGAGGGGGGGTGAATAATGAGGAGGAATTGGCTTAAAATAGGAGCATGAATGGATCCGGCTGCAGGAGGAGATCTAGGCAAAGGGAAGAGGTACAATCATCCTGATAGCTACTAATTAACTTCTCAGGAAACTCACTGAAGCATGTGGCTTTCCAGCGTCAACCCAATCATAAAAAAAATATACATATAAATCAATATGATTCAGTTTTGCGAGATTGTGCAGTCCACAATGGTGCCTGCTGCATATGAGTGCGTGTAAATAATACATGCTGTAACACTGGCTTTCTCTCACTAAATATTCACCCTGACTCCTGAGCATCTCAGCTGCTGAATAATAAAGTGCCACAGCTACTCAGGCGGGATGATGGATCATAACCCATTTTAAGTTTCACAATGTGAAGGATGTGTGTTAATCCACCAGCTAATCATCTCCACAATGAGGGAAAAACACCACACCAGTGAGTGGTCCAAAGGCTCAGACATGTAGGTTATGTTACCCCACGAGATGGTATGTGTGTGTATGTGTATGTGTGTATATA